GTTACAGCTGAGCTTTAAATGTCTGAAAATGCTTAAACACCAAATTGTGACTATAATGTAACCTACAATTAGTCAAGGACTTTTATTTTTGTACCAATGATACATAAAAAAAGGGACGCAGTCCTACATGTTAACACTAGACAGCTGTATAACAAAGTCAGGAAAAAGTTTCATTTAGAAAAAAAATAGCAAGGAAGCGGGAAGCTGATCATTTATGCTAGCTTGACTATGACAATCTTGGCTCAGATGTGCTGTGCAGTTCTGTGTTTTTCAGCTCAGTTTAAAAAATGAAATAAAATAAAGGGCGACCGACACACCGACTCTGACAGATTGTCAGTAGAGCAGGAGTTAAAATTAGCTAATCAACCACCGCTGTGTTAGCTTGGCTAATAGCAGCGCTAGCTAATCTATCACAGTGATCACTTAATAATAATAGTAAAATAAACATCAAACCAAAAACATGAAACTGTAATGGATTGTATGTTGTTAGTTTGTGTGGGAAATGTTTGTGTGTTTTTAGGGTGTTGAATCCTGATATGCTAGTAGAACTGTTGTCAGTCAGTTGCTATGGTAACGGGTCTGCGTGGCGCATAGCCGAAACACAAGAAAAAGAATACAAGTAGTTTTGAGTTGTTCTTCAATCCTTTTTCTGCATTATTCTTCCCTTGGCTGCGGCACACTAAGTTAAAAATATCTACATCTCCAGGTTTCATTTAGTTAATAAAATAAATTTATTACATAATATGCGTTGTGTGCGGAAAACTTCTGTACGTCAACAATAACATGCAACACGTTTATACATGCATATGTATGTATTTATTTGGGTTTAACATTTCTTACTCTGTATGTCTTTGCATGAACCGAACATGATTCTTGGGATTGACCAGCATTTTTCAAGAGGGGCCACGGCCCTCTTTTGTCCCCCCTTTGGGTCGCCACTGGCTGACCTGGTTTTTCTGATAGTATCCAGCAGAAGACATGATGAATATACTAAAAAAAAATAGAAAAATGTTCAAAACCCTGCAGTAAAAATGTATTTAAAAGTGAAGGTACAACCTTTAAACTCAACAGTGCTACGAAATGTGACGCCCCTTTATGAACCTTGAATCAACTTTCCTCTGATGAAAGGAGGATTCGTCCCAATCAGACGATGTTTCTGCAGGCAAACTGCGTACGAGGCGTAAAGCCTGTCATCTCTTGACTCTTTTGGACTTTTGTTCCATGAAGCTACTACAGGTGTAACGATACAGGCTGAATAAAGCGACAGCCGCAGCCTTGTCTCTCTCACCTTCACAAACTGACCCTCCGCTTTGTGAAGAGGATGTGGTTGTGTGGCTATTGGAGGAAAATAACTGAAGCGCTCCAACTATTTGAGGCTCTGCAGCTTTTAGTTTGCAGCTTTAACAGCCTCCACTCCCACACAGGCTTTCAGCCGCAGGAGGTTTTTACAGTGCAACTCTGCAGGTAAAAGTTTGATTTTATTTAAATAAGATGTTAGATAAACATGTTTAGAAGTCAAATAAAATGTAATCAATGAACCATCACAATCTGTTATGCCCACTTCACTGTTTGCTGAGTTTTTCTCTCGTTAAATCTAAACTCCTCGTTTGCGCTTTAGATTTTAAAGCTAAACATCTGCAGTTCAAAATTTATTCTATTCTTTATCTTCAAGCATTTCTGAACTTTGTACAATATTTCCAGTATTTTTATTTGTATAGTATTTTAAAATGTTAAAATATTACCTTGAATAAAAAGTTTGTTAGTTGGTTCAGGCACATTTTATTTGTGCTTTCCATCCTATCCCACTTTATCAATAAAATCTTTATTCTGTAATTTAATTTATCTCTCAATAGTTGTTTTGTTTGTTTATAGGGGACAAAAAAAGGACGAGTTTGTAATTTTCAAGCCTTTTACATTTATTAGATCTTTTCTTTTAAGGAATATTCCAATTGTTTTACATTTCTAATAAATTCCATGTGAAAGTTATAACTACAATTTTTGTTTTATACGCTTTTATTTTCAACTATATTTATGTGCAACTTCACATTATTGTAGATCCATTTAGCGGAAAAAGTTATTTTTTTATTGAAGGATAACTTATAATCAAACTACTTTTTTCTACTGTTTACATTAATTCATCCACATTAAAAACATAAAGCTATTTTGACATCAGCAAAAAATATAAATGTTTTGTAATTTGTGAAAAAGCTATTTTTGTTGATCACAAGTAATTTGGGAAACAAATTAAATGGGTAAATCAGCCAAATATATCCTAATTATCAGGGTGATAATTAGGATATATTTTGCATTTTATTTCCTTTTGTTGAGGTAAACCAGGAGCTAATCAGACTAAAAACCTCCTGATTCGATGAATGGCAACAAAAACAACAACATTGAATCTTTTCTGCTCTCTTTGTGCGTCAGACACCCATTAGCAGCGAAACCTGTTTGTTTTGTACCGACACTCTCAGGCTGTCCAATGGCTTGACCTACAGCCTCAGAAAATCTGCAATTTTCTGTGATTTCTGTCAGGCTGAGTCTGCTGCTCTTTGGGTTGATGATGCAGAACTGGTTACGTGTTTTTATTCAACCTCACAGCTGGAGAACAATCGGAGACGTTAACGCTGTAAAAGCAAAGCAGTTTTCAGAATAGCGTTTTCTAGATGAGACTAGATTATTGCTGTTGACACACAGCGTTTTACATACTTCCATTAAAGGCTGAAATACTGTGGTTTGGCTGGAAAGCCTGAGACTCTTGTGATGCCAGGATGGAAAGAAAGTTTCTGATCAGTCTGGAGGGATTATGAAGCAGGGTGAAAAGGTGAAAGATTGTTTCACAACTGTGAGAAAAAAATCATCTTAGGTCAGAGAACTAAGATGAGCTCCATCTCAGACACAGTAAGAAAGAGAAATTTCTACTTAAAATGCTTTTTTACAGAACAAATAAACATGCAAATTTGCATTTCCAGTCCTCAGGAACGTTTGTTTTGTTTTCCCCTGAGAGATCTTGGCGTTGTTGGCAGGATTTGATGCGCTTGGCGGTCGTACATGAATCGCAGCTAAAAGGCCAGATCCAAACGAGATGAAGTGAATTATTAACACAGAGACAAAGAAATTTCTCAGCTGCCAGTTTTTCAGGAGTGAATGTGCCAGAAAATTCACCAAGTTCAGAGTTTAGATTGATAAGATGAATGACGATACAACAAACAGGACTAAATATTCCTGCTGCATCAAAATTTAAGACCAGCACATTAAAGCCCAAATTACATTTTTTCAAACAAATTTAAACATATTTATGCCTTAATTTTAGACACATGAATTTTTTTAAGGACCCTGATTTACTAATCAATCAATAAAGTTTATTTGTACAGTGCTTTACATCATATCATAAATATAGCATATAGTCAACAACTGTGAAAACCTATAACAGACATTACACTGCAAAAACTCAATTAGTGAGCTTTTTATTTAGTCTAATTTAAACTAAATAAAAAATAACTTCAGCAGGAAATAGAAGTTTGTTTTAACATTGATGAAAAACATCTTGTTCCAATTGGAAGATTATTTCACTTATAGCAAGATGTTTTCCTCATGTTATTGGTGACGATGAAACTGAAACTTTCCCATTGATATTCAGGAATTATTGGATGGAAACAAGCAGTTAATCTTGCTGAAGTCATTTCAAGTTATTTTTGTCTTATTTCAGTTGAACAAAGATATTTGGTGAGATTTTGAGTTTTTGCAGTGTTTGTCATTAAACTCATCAATGTGGATCAATTCTAAATATCTGGGTTTTTAGTCTTGATTTCGGCTGTTTTGCAGTTTTTCAGTAGTTTTTCCAGACTTTGAGGGATTTTCTGCCTGGCTGCTTCTCATCACCGGTGAGACACTGGAGAGACAAACTGCAGCTTCCGTCTCCAAACACAGAAACCACAATTACATGGCGAATGCCTTAAAACCCGATGGAGACCCAATGTGTGCAGCTTCTTTTGATTTCTATTTCTTCTTTTATTTTCAAAGAACAATATCCTTGAGCGATCCTTTTTCAACTCCTACTCACGCATTTCTTAGCGACAGAAATAATACTCGCTGGACTCTTTATTATGCAACACATGAAATCCATTGCAGTTGGAAACAAGGTCCTCCTGAACAAGGCTGGCATTTAATTACAGGTTTCTCCCTGCAGTCACTTCAGCATGGAGAGCTTTCTGAGTGTTTGTCACCGTGCAGCAGGAAGAGGATTCAACGCTGCAGATCACGACGAGCTATTTTCATTTTTACAGAAAAGGCTTTGATGCATAAGTTGTGTTATCTCCATCTGATAAAAGATTTCCATCCGCTTGGCTTTTCTGAGATGTGAACATTACTGATGTGTTTTTAAATTTATTTTAGGCCTATTTATTTTTGACAGTAAGTTTCTGACAGCTAAATAAAGCAATCAAAGGTTTATTTAAAAATAAACCAAACATACAGCCTTGAAACTATTCATTGCCAAGTTTTCACACCGAAACCAGAAATGTCTCAGTATTTCATTTGATACAAATATTTATGTCAGCCCGGTTGAACTTTGTCTCCACCTCCTTCAAACATCTACAGACTGAAGTTTTCAGTCCTTTCCTCTTTGCAAAATAGATCAAATTCAGTCTGATTGGATGGAAAACATCAATGAACAACATGTAAAAGTCTTAGAGTAAAATACTCTTTTGAGATTAAAATGTTAGAAACAAAGAGTTTTTATCTATTCAAAATTACGCGTTTTGCTTTATTTTGGCAAATTTTCATAATCTTTAGATGAGAGTGCACTCAAATCTGCATTTTATTAATAAAATAAAGAAAACCACAACAAAACACAACTAATGTTTTAAAAATAAATACTGATCCAAATCCTGGTTTTGTTGTAAAAAAATAAACATAAGTTTTACTAAAAAGTAATAAAAATGTTCAACTTTTTCTATTTGCACCAGTTTGTTTCATGGTGAGAAATAAATTAAATAAAATTCTTGAGTTTTAAAACTCAGACCGGAACCTCCAGAAACATAAATTCATCTACAAAGTAGATTTTTGCCAGCTGAAGAACATTTCCAGGATTAAAAGACTCCCAGAAATATCTAGACAACTTTATGCTTCATTAATCTGGAACAAACTTCCATAAAACTGCAAAACAGTCGAAACACCGGCTAAACTGGTTGTCATAGAAATTAAACTACTTCTCAAACATGCGTGGAAGAAGCATGTCAACACTCCAGGTGTTTCTGATGAGGGTTTAACATAAAAACGTCAGTTTAACAAAGTTCTGCCCCTTTGACAGCAAAAACGGCACAAAGTTCATGAAAACTGAGTATCAGGAGTTAATCAGCTTCAATTCATTCACATCTGTTGACTGGAGTTTCCTCAAAGACATTTTTCCTAATAAACGAGGTGAAATGCAGACGAGGTCGGCTGATGGAAGGGGTGATCTCATTAATCGATCACCTGATTGATCGTCGGCGTCCTCAGGCTTCGGGTTACACCGTGTCTATCTCAATGGTCTCCGCCACGTTGCAGAGTCCGTCCGGCTCCTCCTGCAGGATCAGCAGCTCTCCCAGCCGCTGCTGCCCCTGGACCAGAATGCATTGCTCCGCGCCGTCAGGCAGCAGCACCTCCACCAGCTCCGGCTGCGCCCCTGCAGGCAGCTCGTCTGTGTGGACGTAAATGACGGTGTGCTGGACGTCGCCTGCAGCCTCTGATGTTTTCAGAGTTTCCTCGTCTTTTCCCGCGGTTCATCCTTTCCTCTGGTCTCCAGGTGAAGCCCGGTCTTCCTCGGTCTTCCTCGGGTCGGTTTCAGGTGGCTGCAGCCCGAACCCACCGGTTCCTCTGGACCTGCTTTGCTCGGTCCTTCTGTCTTGGGCCGGTGCTGAGCCTCGTGCCGAAGCAGACTCTGCCTCAAGGTGTACGAGGCGCCGCAGGAGCAACTGTACGGTTTCTCCTTCAGGTGGGAAGACCTCATGTGTCTCCTCAGTTTGGTCGCCATGGTGTAGCCTGAGGAGGAAAAGACACAGTTCTTGCTTTATTGGACTCCAACTAATGATTATTTTAATATCTGACTGAATGTCTAATTGGTTAGTCTAAACTAATCTTTATTAATTTAGAAAATATAAAAGGCAGTGTTTACTAATGCCTCAAGTTAGGTTTGCTTTGAATTTTTTAGGGTTAAATATCTTATTTCTCATGTTTTCTGCACTTGAAAAGTTTTCAAACCTCAAGCTTAAGACTAAAGTTGCTATTTGAATCCTTTAGCATTTGAGTAATAAAATTTTATTTAAAAAGGAATTGATTTGTTCTCTACAAGCATTTTCTCATTCATACATTTTCTTTCAGTAACAGCTAATAGAACAGGACAACATTCTATTTGATTGCTTGACGTCATCACTGACAAAAATGCATGTATAAAGGAAAGCAAAAACAAAATATATAAATTTTTTGACGAACATGCAAAAGCAAAAATATACATTTCTCCACAGTCGAGTGTCTCCAGGACCAGAAATATCTATTTTCTACAGCTTTTTCTGCACATGAGGCAGAAAATATCTTATTTGCTTCCGACTTTATTGTTAATGAAACCAGTGAAGTCAGCAGACAAGTTTTTCTTTTACTGATGAACGTTTGATGAACAGAATCTGTGAACATGTGCGGAGTCATCAGCAGCTTGTGCTTTCCAATCATGCATGCAGGACAGAGCGTCTGCAGCCTGCTGGGCGAGATAAACGGCGCCGCTTGCTTGGAGGAGGAAGAGGTCGGGGAATTGTGCGGTTTGTGCTTCACCCCCCCAACTGGCTTTATCATCAACTCATGTGTCGCTGCTTCGCCTCAGCTGCAGTTTTTCTGCCCTGAAACTCCTCTAACTCCATGATGAAAGGACAAAATTGAGGCATAAAATGTATGCAAATGTCTCTCAAAGTTTTAAAATACAAGCTACTTAACATCTTTACAATAAATAACAGTGAGGAAGTTCAAGGTGCATCTAATTTCTTTATATTTTATGCCAAAGCAGTGCTGATCAGCAGTGCTTAAAATTTTCTGAAGGTTGTTTGCATTTTTTCTTTTCATAAGCAAAATACTTTTCTGAATATAAATCTAGTTGTCCGTCTCAATCTGAGGACAGCAGTCAAAAACAGATGGCTTGGGGATAAAACTAGTCTAAAAGGCACAGAACAACCTGCAGAGGGCGCCACTGAATACATTTAGTCAAGTTTCAGCCACAGACTTCATGTATTTTATTGGGATGTTATGTAATAGAACGACAATGTTATCTTAAGAATGATTCATGGTTTTCACCTTTTTTTTTTTACAAAGAAAAACCTGGAAACTGTGGGATGGATTTGGGAAAAAAGAGACCACAGGGAAAGGAAATAGAACTGCTGCGTAAACAATCACTTCAAAATAAGAGTCTGAACATAAATGCAATAACCAAAACTTCAAGACAGATGTTGAACTTCATTCAACTGAAAGTTTACAAAACAATCAAGTAAATGAGTGGTTTAGCATTTATCTGGAAAAATGCATTTGCAGAAGCTAAGTGCAACAAATGTTTTCAAAGTTAGCAAAAGCGCTACACAAAAATTAGCTGCTATTAGGGTTCGCAGAAGTGTGTCCATAACTGTCTGGAACGATGTCGTGACGTAAATTAGCTTTTAGAGTTTTAAGAATATTGCAACATTTGTTGATAAGTGCAACAAATGTTTTCAAAGATAAATTAGTTTGCTATTAGTGGATTAGCAGATTAAAGCGTGGTAATCCACTGTTAAAGCCTCTGTATTAAAATTGAAATGCAGTTCAGCTCAAAATTATTCACACCCTGGCTACCATTTCAGGCTGGGTGGAAACAGCTGATGGGATGGAGGCTGAACAGTAACTGAAGATTTAAATCCGTCAGTCTGATTAGGGTAAATGTTCTTTTACTGGATTCTTAAAACTCCTTGATCTTCAAAGTTTCCTGCTGATAATCATCCTTCACCTCAACAATGAGGCTACAGCAACAATGTGGATCGTTTTTTATCTTTTGTTAGAAATCTCTTATTTTTTCAAAAGCCTATGAAACTCTCTTTACTTTTAGTTTGGAGTCATGACAACCATAATAAAAAAAAAAAAAAACTGTTCTTTCCGCTTGAAAGGGGACGGAAAATCAATCTGGGCTCAGAAAAACAAGGAGGAAGATATGAGATGATTTTCTCTACATGCAGAACTTGTTTGATTGTGTTCAGAGTGACATCTTCACCTTTGCCACAGATTGAGCAGCGATGGGGTCTCTCTCCAGTGTGCAGCCGCTCATGGTATCTCAGACTGTGGGGGTCCCTCAGAGATTTCCCACAGTAGCTACAGAGAAACCCTCCCTCAGCGTGGGTGAACATGTGCCGCTGGAGATCTGACTTCTGAGTGAAAGTCTGCAGGCACTCGGGGCAGTGGAACGGTTTCTCCCCGCTGTGAACCCTCAGATGGCTCTCCAGGTTCCCTGAGGCCGACAGACAGGAAGGCATGAATGAAGAGTCATCTGTCCAACAATGTGAAACACATCAGCCTCTAAAATAAAACCCCAGTAGTCAGTGCTGGATGGGAGACAGCAGGAACCGATCAAATAAGTTTCCTCTGAAGCTAAAAAGAGAAAAAACAGTTTGGTCCAACTCAGGAGGTCAACAAATGTCTGCACTGAAGGCTAAAAATATCTGCCAAGTTGTTCATTAAAAAAAAAAATTTCTGTTCTTAGTTTTGAGAAGAAAAATGATCACACTTTGTGAGGGTTTTTAAAGCGGAGCTGACTGTCTAGACTTATCAGTTCAATTGTTCTGATCTGACAGAAAATGAACGGGGATGATTCATCACGCAGTAAAATGATGTGCATCTGGAGGTCAGCAGTGAATTACAGACACATTATTCCAGGAAAGTCTCAGCGCTGCTTTCTGCTCATCAGAAAACATTTACAGTCTGCAACAAAACGCTGTTTGATCGGTGAAAATAGGTTTTAATGAAAGAAATATCCTATTGTACAAAACTACTTTTGGATTGATGGACGGATGTATTTGTAGTTAAATCTGGTTCAGAGCCGTTTCCGGCTATCAGAGACACGGAAGCGATCAGAGCCGCCGTTACCTTTCTGTCTGAAGCGCTTCCCGCAGTGCTGGCAGATGTGCGGCTTCTCCCCGGTGTGCAGCTTCATGTGGGTCCTCAGGGAGTTGGGGTTGGCCAGCTCCTTGGAGCAGACGGAGCACTGCACCTGGGAGAGACGGGAGAAAACGGGTCAGAAGGCTGGTTGGGAATAAACAAGCTGGGATTCAAATCAATTTGAACAGGAGAGGAGAGGCGTCTGGAGCTTCATTTAAATGTATCCATATGACTGCACAAATTGAAATTACAAAAATTAATTGTCTGAAATGAAACATATATTTTTTTCTAGGATGGGATGGTTTTTCCATCATGTTGAACGAATCACAAAGCTGCAAAGGAAACACTTTGTCACATGACCAACATCCGAATATTTCTGGTGGAAACGATGAAGTAGAAGACAGGAAGCAGTAGAGGGATTTTGTCTTTTATTTAGACACTGTGCAGCGGTCATGATTTCTTATTTAATTGAAACACTGCAATCATTAAATTGTGTTTTTGAACTTTAGCAGAATAAAGACAAAGATTTGTGCATATTTGTGATGAGAAATACAACCATCCTGGTTGTTGCTACCTTTGGCGACAGCATGTAGACCTTCCTGCTGCAGTGCAGCAGGCGGTGGATGCGCAGCGAGGGGCGTCGTGCGAAGGATTTCCCACAGTTCTCACAGGTGTAGGGTTTCTCTCCGGTGTGCAGGACCAGGTGCTCCTTCAGGTCTCGCTTCAGGCCGTATGTCTTTTCACAGTGAGGACAGGAAAACGGCCGCTCGCCTCTGTGACTCAACTAAAAACAAATCATTTGTCTCAGCACCTCTTCTTTCTCCGACACGACAACAGAGAATCATCCAGAGGAAAACGATTTTAGAGAAAAACTCCAGACTGTTTTTCTTTCAGAATCGCATATTTCATCTCGTGTTTTACTACTGGTTGAGCTGCCTGGCATTCAGACCCTTTTTCTTTCTGTTAACTATAAACTTAAATGTATCTAATGGTGATTTTATGA